TCCCAGCATAAAAGGCCCTTTATAATGTAGGAGAAATATAACACAATGCATCATATGATGCAACAGAGCACAGTGCTTAGATATCAGGCCTCAGAACCCAAATATCAATGCTGTCATTTATATGCACCATAAAGGGGAAAACGACAAGGTATTTAAGCTTTTTTCTCTTTAAAATGAGAATGGCAATTACAGAACATGGCTCATGGGGTTGCTATGAAATGAAGCAATATGTACAGAATACTGGCCTGCTCTCCACTACATGGGAAGTGCAAGCTTTTGCTTTAGTAGCTCTTCCCAGGGGGCACTTCCCAGTATACCCAGTTCATATGTGCGCAGAATGGACTTCTCGTAGAGATTAACTACAGCTCTGAGATTATTCCCTTCTTTTCTTAGCCCGGCCAACAAAGGGGCCTTTTGCTTTTTTTTTTTTTTTTTTTTGAGGAACCAGGGATTGAACTCAGGCCCTTGCGCTTGCCAGGGAAGCGCTTATTCCACTGAGCCATCTCCCCAGCCCCCAGCCTGTTGCTTTTGATTGGATTTTAAATCTCAGTAAACTTTTGAGATCTAACCCCTGCTTGTCAAAATTTCTAAAGCATGCCTGTTACTGAAGATCACCTGATACACACACACACACACACACACACACATATATTTTTTGGGGGGTACTGAAATATGGACGTTCAAAGTGCAGAATATGGAGCCAGATGGCATAGGTTTGACTCCTGCCTCTTCAACTTGTTAGCTATATGACCTTGGTCAGATTACTTAATATTGTTGAGACTTAGCAATTATTACGTGGAGATACCAGAGTTACTAGATTGTATCCAGTGGACATTATTTAAAGTTTGAGTGGAAACAATGTTAGGCACAAATGTTACATTAGCAGTTATAATCATTATTATTTGTTATGTTTGTCATTATAGTATATGCATTTCATATTCCTAAGAAAATTATAAAACTGTCTGTGTATTATGAGTTTCACTTAAATTTTCTTTTGTAGTATCCAAGAGGTTAAGGCACAGTTGGCTCTACAGTGTAGAAATCTGCTAAATATTTGGTGTCTCAGAGCCCACAGAGATAGTCTAATGAGCATGATAATGGGAAAATCAGTATTTGTCTGTCTACCATTTTCTAATAATTTTTCAAAAAAATACATACATTATGACATTAAGGTCTCATAATTCTCCAATGAGATTATTATCCCCATTTAACTACTATGAATTAATTTAAGTTACTTGACCACCTTGAGTCAAAATAGTGTAGTGGATAGGAAGACCATGCTTGCAAACGCAGAAACATTAAAACTTTTGTGTGCATCAGAATCAATGAGATCAATTTTGCATTCTTATGTCTGCTAATCTGAACAACCAATTTGAAGACAACAATATGCAGTAGAACAACCACTGCTGAATTCCCATAATTTTATTTAGTGAAATTCTGTATCATTTCTAATGTTTTTAACTATTTTCTGTTCTCTTTAAAATAAATAAATAATAAAAGAGAATCAACTTAAAAAATGGTTAAAACATAGGTTACTGGCAACCATACCCATGTTCTGATGCAGTGGAAATGGACAGGGTTTGTATTTCTGAGTTTTCTAGGTGATTATGATGCTGTTCTAAGAACATGTTTTTTAAATGGCTATAGTAGATCCTTTCTTTCCTTTGCTAAACATTTTAAGGAGCGCTTAGCAAAGGGATTTGTAAACTGGAGCTTGATATATTCTATTTTATAACATGTGGAAAGACCTAAGGCTTTCCTACAGAGAGTGTAATGTTAGCAATTTATGCAGAAATTGAGCTTTAATAAAGAAAGGTGTGTAAGGTAAGAATAATAACTGGCCTATAATAAACAAATTACCAGGAGTACTGAATAACATAGATGTTTGACTTGGTATAAAAGGTCTCCCGACTTCTTAACAAATTAACACATGCTCAGCCATTAGCAAATCTAGTGACCCAATCCATCTGACAAGATAGCGTTGTAATGGCCTCAGACAACAGAGGGTAGGAAATTTCTATAGACATGCTTAGCTTCTTCAACAGGTGGATTAAGTTAGGTAAATGAATATTAAAGCAAACTTTCAGTTCTTCTCTAAGATGTTTTAGACTCTTCTGAAGTCATCAGAGTCAGAACGATTCTCAGCATGGCCATCCACAGCCTAGAAATCAAGTCAAGGCCAATGGCCCACCATTTCTGTGCACAGGGGTCACAAGAGTAGATTCTGAATCATTCATTCCTATCTGTTAACAAATTCTGTACTTTCACTGCCTAAACAGACAAGACTTTCTGACTTAATACAATCAAGATACTGAAAATGGTTTTCCTACCTGAATTTTAGTAAAAGCTTGCCTTTTCTCTGCACGTAGTAAGTTAGTGTTGCCAAACTCATCTTGCTGAATTATGCCCCTTGGCGAATGCTGTCTCAGTTATTTTATTTCTGTCTTCTCTGCCTTGAGGTACCCACATGGTACAAATGTCAAGTGAACAATAAGTCATAATGAACTATGTCTTTTTATGCCCAACCTTCTCTTTTTATGCTCTTGGACAGAAAAGGAGAGAATAAAAGCTAGAGTTATCACCAGTGCTAGAAAATCCTCAAGTGGACATGGACAAATTCAGCACTGTGGGATGTGAGCCACCGAGCTACTGAGTGCACATGTGAGGGTATGAGAGGAAACATTTAAAGCAAGGAGGAAAAGCTGGTACAAAGGAAAATTCAGCACAGTTGAGGAAACCACACTGGAAACTGTTTCCGTAGTCCAAGTTGAAATGATTCATATCTGAGCATCTGAGAACATATTCTGAAAACTGTTTCCATAGTAAAACCTACTACTAATACTACTAGTCTGAAGCTGTTGCAAACAAATACAAAATAGGTAGAAAACAACCAGATTAAACCTAAACAATATGAAATTTGTGATGTCCACAATATAGTGGAAATTCAGTAAGCATACAAAAAGCAGAGAAATACAATCTCAGATTTTAAATATCTTCTAAAATAGGACCAAAAATGACACAGGATGGAAATAAGAGTGAAAGATGTTAAAAGCATTTTCTATAAATTCAATATTTTAAAAATCAAGAACATAATTAATATGTAATACATGTTAAAAGAATAAAATTTCTAGAGAACGAAACACCTGAAATTTAAATTAAACTTTTTACTTTTAATAGGATTAATATCTGAGTATACAGAAAGAAAATATCAGAGCACTTGAACACATATCAATAGAAACTATTCAGAGTAAAGAACAGAAAGAAAATTTTAACAAGTAAAATAATAGAACAGTGTCTTTGTAATCTTACCAAGTTGTTCAACATTACTGAAATATATGTCTTAATAGGATGACATAGTCAAAGAAGTAAAAAATAGTGTTCAAAAGTACAAATGTTATGCAAACTGTTAATTTATAAAGCCAGGACAGTAAACTCTAAGCAGAACAAACCTAAGTAAAACTACAAATCCCCACATACTAATCATATTAGAAAATTATATTGACGTGAGTCCCCCACATCTCAACATAACAACATGGCTTTACTTCCTATATTTCATCTTCATACTTTTCTACTGGATGGTTAAGACCAAGGTAAAGCAGAACCTATGCAACAAGAGTTGTAGCTTTTTGGTTTGAGAAGGTCAGTGAAATGCCCTCAGGATTTGTTGAAACTGTACTTTCGATTTGATTTGAAACTGTCTCATTGCTATATGTTTATCAATAAAACTTTGAAAAGAAAAAAAAATAAAAAACATATAAAACATAAAAAAAAGAAAATTATAAAACTATGCAGAGATGAGAACAAAGACAAGAATGTCATCAAATTTCTCACCATAAATGACACGATGGATAGAGAAACACTCCCAAGTACTAACAAAAAGAACTGAACATAAAGTTCAGGGGACTAAGTAATTTTAATAGTAATAAAAATATTCAGTATCTTGATTGTACTGACTTCAAAATACTCATTCTCAAAAGTAATAACAAAACTTACTATGTGCAAAATATAAAATAGTAACTGTAAAAAATGCTACTCAATATTGCAGAAATGCTAGTAAGAAAATCAGAGTAATAAATTTATCCATAATCTTGAAAATTTATGAAATTTGTGTGTTTTAAACATCCAATAGCCTCTTCCAGTGATTTTAGAAACATACAATAATTGGTAACTATGGTCTCCCTAGGAAACCTTTATTTTTCAAAGAAGAAAAAGAAGTATTAAAAATTACAAAGTATGTTTTATGGTTTACATCTGGGTACTTCAATATTCTAAACAGAGGCATCAATTTGCATATTCTTATGATACATACTTTTTTGGTCAACTTAGCCCACCCTGAGGGCGGGGCAGGTGTGGCATGTGGTGCTTGGGATCGAACTGCAGTCCCCAAGCCTGCCTAAGCTTGACTAAGCAGGCACTTTAGACTGCTGAGCTATCTCGCAGGCCCAATAATACATACTTTTTAAGAAACAAAAAGTTTATACTTTCAGAAATGTTTTAGGTGAAGAATATGTTAATTATCCTACACGGATATTACTTAATGTAAATATCAGTCAAAATATATTATACTTACAAATACCTAAGCTGTACAATATGTAAGATATTGCAATTAAAATATCAAAATTAAAAAAAAACAGAAGAAAATTACTGTCAGAAAGGAAATAATTTAACAAGCTGCATGATGTTAATAACTTGCCAAGGGTAATTCTCAACAAATGTCTTTCCTATATATGGAAAATCCAAGTTAGTATCATACTAAACTTGTCATTTCTTCAACAGAGTGAATCACAATTATATTTTTATATTTGCATTATTTCATAAATGCATAAAAATTAATTTAGACTAAAGGTAATTTGAGTATTTTTACAAGTTTAAAACAAAAGCTTTGAAGTAGTTTTTTAAAAACTTCCACAAATATTCCTCTCTGTAGGACGGCGGTCACTGAATTTTGCTTTACGTAGCAATAACAAAGAAGGTTATAGAATGCTGGCATATTTCTTTACCTCCAGTTTACTTCTTGAAGAAGTGGGTTTCCAATGAGAGACACTTCCCGGAGAGAACAGCATCCGTGAAACCATTTCAGGGCATTTTTAAGATCTATGCAGGAAATAAAACATTAGGAAAGACATCACAAGAAAGGTAAAATGATCATTTTATTCAATGGCTACCAGTGAAAGAAAAGCACTATCCTCACCTTTTCCGCAGAACATTACATGAGTTTTAAAGGAGCTGACTGGGTTAAGAACACACATGTTGTAGTAGAAAAGTCTTATCATTTAGCATCTGTGGACTCAGGGACCCCTTCCTTATAACCCACATTCACAGATACAGTATTACATGGGATAATATATGTAAAATATTTACAATATTCTGTTTCACATCCTAAAGACAAAATCTGACGATGAGAAACATAAACAGGGAACACATGTGGTATGACAATTGGGGTACAGTAGCAACCTGATCCTCCTGGGGATCCCCATGGGAGGGTCTAGAGCACACCAAGAGGATCTGGGGACAAAGAAACATGGCCTCGGACTCTACGACTGTCCGCATCCTTTGCTGTCTGGCCCTGTTCTCCTGCTGCACCACCACCAAGAGCTCAGCATCTCTGCTCAACCACACGCTTCTGCCAGGATATCTCTCCCTGGAAGCTAAGCGACCACGGCCTGGATCCCCAGAAAAGGTAAGCTAAACTGGAGCTCATTGAAGCTGTGGCTGCTAGGCAATGTGTGTCTGTGACAGAAAACTGCTGAATGTAGGTGACAGAAGTGAATTACACCTAGATAGGATTACACAGACCCATTGTACTTTCAAATGAAACATAATGGGTAAATCTACAGTACAGTGCAGACTAATGCATTTGAATTGCTTTCCGATAGAAAACCACCACAATACCACCAAAAAATACACATTAGCTGTCTTCAAGTCTGATTTTAAAACTGAAGCTGAGGGCCAGCCAAATAGCTCAGTGGATTAAAGCACCTGCAAGCAGGTGCAGGGGCCAGGGGTTCGAACCCCAGGCTTGCTGTGCTGGCCCTGCCCCTGGGGTGCACTGGGATGACAATTGAGACTGGGCGTGGTGGCACGCACCTATAACCCCAGCACTTGGGAGACTGTAAACAAAAGAATCACTATGAGTCCAGTCTAGTAATGAGACTCTGAACACCCTGTAGACCTTTCCCTAAAATACAGGGGGAAAAAAACAAACAAACAACAAGAACAACAACAACAAAACAACAACTTGAAGTTGGAATTTGTAGAATAAAAGTCCTGCAAAGGAGATAACTGTGTGCGCGTCAGGGTTACATGTGTGAGGATTTGCCCCAATCTTTGGAAAGGTGCTAGGTGTCACAATAAGGGAACAGGTCAGCAATCACCTAAAATGCAGAAACATTATGTGTGCGATACGAAGGTCACTAGTGGAGAACAGCGAGCACGAAGAGCTTGAGACTGGAACGGGCTGTCTTCAGGAAGGACAAGGGCAGGCCTGACAGCGACAAAATGATTCAGCACTAACTTAACTACTTGACAAAATAAAACTCAACATCCTTTAAAAGCAGATGATATGTAGACTCGCTAAACTGTATGATCTACAATGTTCCACAGAGCTAAAATTTATCAGAAATAATGAAGAAACAGGAAAAATAGAACTATTTTTAGTAGAGAAACTATTAGTGCAAACACAAACCAAAGTAACCCAAATACAAAGCAAATCTTTGATAAAGATGCCACAGTAATTCAATGATAAAAAAGCTTATCCAACAAATGTTGCTGGAGCAACTGCGTATTCATATAAAGAGATGAATTCAACCTCAGTCTTCATCATAAATAAATATTAATTTAAGGTGGATTTGAAAGTTAATGCTAAAGAGTAAAAGTACAAAGTCTTCTGACAACAGGACAAAAATGTTTCCTCTTGAAGAGGAGAAATATTTATTTCTACCTGTGAAATCAATATTGAAGTTAAATTTCATCAAAATTTTTAAAAATCTAATTTAAAAATGCTGTTTATAAAATTTGTGTGTAAAATAAGCTAGGGGAAAAATTACAAACTTTCATTCAGAATAAATTAAAAAAATTTCTGAAAATAAAAAAGGCAAATAATTAAAATTCTGAAATTGTAGGGCACTACATCATATACTTCAAAATATATAAAATCACTAATAAATATCTGTAAAAAATTCCATATCTTTATTCATTAAAGAAATACCAACTAAAGTTTCAGTATGCTAGTCCAATGACAGGAAAAGTTCTAGAGTGGAATAATTGGAACTCATACATTATTGGTGGCTGTGCAAAAATAATACAATTACTTTGAAAAAAGTGTTGGCTGTTTTCCTTAAAGTTAAACCTATATTTACTGTATTATCAGCCAAAAAATTAGGTATTTACCCAAGAATACTAAAAATACATGTCTGCAAAAATATTTGTATAATACTTTCCTTAGGAAGTTTGTATTATAGTAGCCCTAAGCATTAAGCATTCAAATATCAATGAACAGGAAAGGATAAATGGATAAACAAACTGTGATACATTCATAGAGTGGGTTATAAGTTAGCACAAAAAAGGAAAAGAAAAAAAGTCTTAAATGAGAAATACAGTACAATAACACATGAATACTGAGCAGAGAAAATATCAAACTAAAAATACTATTCAATCTTATTAGTATAAAGACAAAATTAACTTAGATAAATTCAGACTGTGTCCAGACTATGGTTGTTGCTATAAGTTAATTAGGAAATTTTGTTAAAGGGGATTGGTTAATTCAATTCACAATTCTTTAATAAATTTAATGGCCATCTATATGTGTTGGATATCAACACACTACATTTTTCATTGGCAAAATATATGTATCTGAAAATTAAAATATTAATTTTATGATTTCTTAGTCCTACCACAAACATAAAAGTTAATATTATTTTAAAAGTCAAAGGATAACTTCAAATATTATTCCAATGTGTGTTATTGTGTAGGTTTAATGTTAGTCAATGCCATGAATCCATGTATTCAAAACAGTCCCTCACCATATTTTGAATAGAAACTCAAAAGTCTACGATGTTTTAAAAGTTAAATATTATTTTAAACTTACCAGACAGACAATTGTTGCTGACATCTAGTTTTTCCAAAGAAATAAAATGAAAAAGTGGTACAATTTTTGTCAAACTGGAAACAAAAACATAAAATTTATTAAAATTATAAATGAGTATTCTGAATATTTATGTGACTACATAATAAAATATTTATATGACACAGTTATATAACTATGCAAATTTATATAAAATATATGAGTATAATTGTATATAACACAATTATAACATTTATTAACAATACTTATTAACAATGCCATAATTATAGAAGCCTAAGTAAACCTATTATTAATTCTATTCATTTTGTTACAAAGAAATATTAATATAAGAAAATTTAACTGATGTTACAGAGAAATTAACATGAGATTGACAATTTCAGCCACAAACATCATGGACTTTGATGTGTTTTTGCTATTGAAGTTCAAATAAATGGTTTTTGGTTACTAATTTTTCTTTCTTTGTATGAAGCCAAAGTTACATAGTATGTCCATTATGCATGACTTTCTTTGACTCAAGAATTTGACCTAAATTTTTGAGGCACAAACGTAAGAATTTATTTTTCAGTGGGATGACTGAGAAAATAATTTTTTTTAATTTTAAAAATGCTTTGCTTATTAGATTGAAAACGTAAGTACTAAGCATACAAAATTATACTAAGTCTACAGTGAAAATATGCACAATGTTCAAACAGTAAGTCCAAGGACCTCAATGTCACAAAATACTTTAATAAATAAACTTGAATTAATATACATTCAAATTTGGCAGAAATGTCATAAGATTTAAAGTTGATGTGCTTATCAATTTTACATACTAAAATCGTAATAAATGAACTTTCCTCTTCTTTTAAAAGTTTTTATCATTTGCTGTTAACAATTTTCATTAAGAACTCATATTGAAACAAGAAGCATAAATGTTATTGATAAAATGCATATTCTTGGCATAAAATTATGAAGGGAAGATCGCTGTTAGCTCGATTTGTATCTGCAACTAAGACCTCTGCAGTAGTATGCCGCATTACTACTGCAATTGGAAGTTAAAATTGAACAGTTCATGTTTCTTTAACTAAGACAAAACCCCTTTTCCCATAATACAGTCTCACCAAAACTGCAAATCTTCTAAATTAATCCCCTTTATAAATGTTGGAATTCTAGAACTTCAAGAAATGGCTCAGCTCAAAGAACATCACTACCACAAAAGAAAAAAGAGCAGTCATTAATCACACTCCTCTTGCCCTTTCTCCTCCTCTTCCTTTCTCCTCCTCCTCTTCTTCTTCTTCTTCCTCTCCCTCTGTCTCCCCTTCTCCTCTCTTTTCCTCTTTTTTCTTTTTTCTCTTTCCCCTCTCTGTTCAGTTGTCCTGACAGTTAATTGCTCTTTATTTGCATGAAATCCTTCGTTCTGTTTTTTTTTTTTTTTTTCCAGGACAATAAGACTTATTATTCTAAGGTTAGAAGTCACAGGCTATCAGTGACTGAAAACCTCACAGAATCCCACAGCCTCTTTGGGTCTGGCACAAAATCAAGCCTTCAGGTGACCTGGACCATTTCTTGCACTATCCTGTTCTGCATTAGCAGAAAGAAGATACTTCTGATAAAAAATCAGACCAAATAATGAATCGAGGAGGAAATTGTTCTAAATGTCAAACCTAAGTACTAATATTAAGTACTAATATTATTCATATTGAGCCTGTACAATACTTTCTTCTTAAAAAGTTTCAATAGGGTGAGATTTCAAATAACTTACAGAGAATGTGAGAAAAATACTGGTCATTTCATGTATTGATACACTTCATTATTGGTGTGTTCCATCATAGGAAAATTTACTGCCGTGTCCATAGACACGGAAGGAAGGAAAGAACATATGAATGAACAAATGCACAAAGAGAGGTGAAGAGAAGAATGGGAGGGAATGAGGGAGGAAATTAAAAAGCAGTGGAAATAGTTATTGTATTTAAATACTGATCTCATTCTATCGCCTATTGTGATAATGACGTGTTCTGATATTATCAAAGAAAGAAATCTAAATCCTACAAAGGAAAGTATAATTATTTCTTAGGAAGAAAATTTGTATTTGTGTTATAACATTAATATTTCTAATATCAAATCTTTGCCCTTCTATTGAGAAGAATTTGAAAGACTAGTAGCTAATGGCAGACTAAGTCCTATGGACATACTATCATTCTTCCTCTGATAGAATATAGTATCTCATATTTCTAAGTAATAAGTTATGTGGTAAATTATTAAGACAGACTATGAAAGCAACCAGTAAGGTTTTAGGATTAAAAACAAGTATTAAAATCCCTTTTGCAAAATCAACCTAAGAAATACCTGCTACGCCTAAATATTTTTGCAATACAATGAAATTTTATCTTTTTGTGTAACTATGCTTTAAGAAGTTACTTTTTCTTAGAAGCTAAATGGCTAAATTCACCTTTGTTACTATTCATAATATGAAGTAGAAACCTAATCATAGAATCCTTTTTCTTTTTTCAACCTCTAAAACTTTTCCTTTTACTGACATTCTGTGTATATTTTTTTTCAAGAAAATTTAAACCAGAAAGATAAAGGACATTAGCGAAAACCTAATACCATTTGACCTTGTCACATTAGCCCTGGGCATTAAAAAGATATAAATTTCAAAGACGACAAGAAGCAAAAGATTTGTACAATGAGCAGCCAATGGGTAATAGCTTCCACTTTCTGCTCCTACTTAGAGTCTCACTGGAAGTAGAAAAGCTTATGAAGCCGGAGAGCCTTCTAGTTGGAACTTGGCTGAGTCAAACTTAAAACAGTGACATGTCCTAATGAAAATCTAAAACAGAAGTCAGGATGAAACAAGCATTTCAAACAATACATACTAAATATCATTCTTTATATGTATTCCATTTGTTGGGAGGAAAAGCATATGGATATATAATTTCTTCCTTGTGATGAAAACATTTACCAAAAAATTTAAAGAAAAATATATATAATTTAAAAACCATGCTAACCACAGATCCAAACACACACACACACACACACACACACACACACACACAATGACTCACATTTCCATATATACACATGTATAGAATTCTCAGATCCTTAAAATGTACTCACATATATTTCTGCATGGATTGTCATTAAAAGCAGGGTAGGTAGGTATTATTATACATTCTACATGTTTGGTGGGTGTTGGGGGTCAAGTTCAGATCATGAGAAACAGACATCAGTTGCCTGGTTAGAAACAGATTCAAACTTCGAACTCAGATGTGCTGATTCTGAGTTTTATCAAACCTTATATAATTATGAAACAACTCAGACACATATAAAATCATGATGTAAGACAACACATTTCCACAGGGAATGGTATTCATTTTAAAAAAATCCTAAGGTGGAAGATTATATTCACAATATGGCACCAGGAAATGGCTCTACTTGCCCATCCCACCAATTATATCTTCTTGCTAAGGACTAAGATCTTTTCTCACTTCAGAAATAAAGAAAAAAAATTAAAAACTGAACAAAATCTTCTTCAAAATTAGTAACAGTATTATTTAAATTTTCAAAATGGCATATGTTATATCATAGATCATTTTAGTGGCAAGCTTAACACTTAAGTACTATATTTTGAAGAGCTCTTAGAATAAGAAATATACCATTCTTTTTTATATCTCTGAAGATGGTCAACAATGTGACACTATTCAAACATTAGGTTAGGCAAACAAAAATTATAAATAGGGCTGATTTGGATTAATTAACCAGATTATCACTGTTAATTATAAAACCATGCTTCAACTTTAATAAATACCTTTATATAGTATTGATATGTATAGGTCGTAAGAGAAAGACCTTTATCACCTAGTCTTAATTGTAATTTTTATTTTATTTATTTATTTATTTATTTATTTATTTTTGTGGAACCGGGGATTGAACTCAGGCCTTTGCACTTGCCAGGGAAGTGCTTATTCCACTGAGCCATCTCCCCGGCCCTTTAATTGTAATTTTTAGAGATAACATATTTCTTTGATGATTTAAATCATCAAATGAAATTAAAGGCATTATTTTTTAAAGAAAGTTATGCTAATCTCCTTAAATATTTTTCTGGTCCTTAATGTAGCTTGATTATATATATCTATATATATTTTTTTTCCACATTTACTGCGTATGTCCAAAAACGTAGCACAATATGTTCATTTGAAACTGTATTTCTTGCTTGAAGAGCACTATGAAAATATCAGAAGGGTTATGGATGGCTCCAAGCCCTCATACACTATTGGCTGCTGGAACTGTCTTTAAAACCCAACCAATAACCTTTTTAAAAAGAAACTTTCATATTTTAGATTTGATTGGAACAATTTGAAGGGTTTTTGAATACAGATTCAATATTCAACTGTCAAACTTTACCAGGTGGAACTTAAATCACTTAGCATGTAGATGCTCAAATGATGGTAAGTATTATGGCAGAGACTGAGAGAGTTTTATATGTATTTTTGTAAAAAAAAATAGAATAATCTGGTTGTCCATATTCACTTGCTTTTTATTGTATTTTATAAAAAGTACAAAATAGTATTCAAACAGAAAAATTATAAGTGATACAGAATTTCACTTAACAAAGTAATATGAATTTCACAGTATTTGTTTAAATGCATAGTACTTTTTTCCAGTCAGTTATTCATATTACCAGATTTATGCATGAAAAATTGGAAGAAAAAATAGATATAAGAAATTAAGAGGAGAAAAAGAAGAAACAATTGAAAAAGGAGACAAAACAGATTAAGCTTTATCTGCTCCTTTCCACAGACCAGCAGAAATCCACAGTACAGTTGTCCAATCCATCTTGTTTACACACATAGATTTTTCTCTTTCCCTCACTCCCTCTCCTGTCCATTTTTCAACTCAGTAACTCTTTCCTTTTGAATAAGTTCATTTTCTTTTTCCATTATATACTGTCCCCTTCAGATTTCATTTACTCTTTCAGGTTCTCACACTAAGGAGATGATACGATGTTTGCACATGCGGGTCTGATTTATTTCACTTGAGTATGTTCCCTAGTTGCATCCATTTACCAACAAAAGTCTCAAATTTATCCTGTTTTATAGCTGAATAATACTCCAGTGTGTAAAAACATCACATCTTCTTTATCCATTCCTCAGCTGATGGGCATCTGGCTTGTTTCCAGGATTTAGCTAAGACAAATTGTGAGAATGGCCATACTACCAAAATTGTTATATGGATTCAATGCAATCCCGATTAAAGTACCATTTTTATATGTCACGCAGCTAGAGAAAACTTTGCTCAACTTCATTTGGAACTAGAAGAGACCTAGAATATCGAAAGCAATCCTGGGAAACAAAGGGAAGGCAGGAGGTATCACAATTCCTGACTGAAATTATACTATAAAGCTACTGAATTCACTTGTTTTGTAGCATTGTATAGCTCAAAAAGTAATTTCTTGTTAAAAATGTGATTGCTTTACCCTATTCTATGTGCTTTGATGAGCAAATTAATCATATTACAGTGAATAGGTCTCAAGGAACTATGAAGCACGAGAAGTGCACATATTGTACTCCTGTTGTGGTTTTTGACAGTGATTCTCTATAAAGATCCAGATGTTTGGTGTTTTCAAATGAATCTTCTGAGGCAGATACCCATTTCATTTAATGTTAAGACATTTTTAAGTGTTATTTTATATCCTTAGGGAAATCAAATTTCAGTCCATCGTAACAGTTACAAAAAGGCATGCAAGCTGAGACCAGATTAAAAATCATTCTTTCAGGACTTAATAAGTACCACTTGAGAGAATGAGACATCCTGCTGAATTAAATTAGCTACCTCCTGGATTTTCCACAGACTATTCTTTACAAATATAAACAAACTTGCCCTTTGAGAGTTCTACAAATGTGTCTTTAAGGAAAAAAATATATTATAAATGAAAATTTTACTAAAACAGAGCAATCCATTCCTTCAAATTTTTAAATTCTATATTGTATCTTTATAATTTAGGTATGAATCTATTTTTAATGTTCTGTCAGTGACTTACTGGAGACACTCAATTTTCCTACTTCTTTATAAACACTGCACCTTTATTTTAATAATTGTTTAATAATTGCATTTATTTTTAGTAAAGTGTATACATACATATATTACCTGTTCTGAGAGATACTAAGATTTTGTAGTAAAGGCAGCCAATAGGAAGAAAATGATTCCATAGTTGATATACTGTTATCATCCAAGTATAATTCTCTCAGTAGTACATGATTTCCCAAGGATGGAAGCTAAATGTTAATACAATTCATTAGTGTATATTTTGCCAGCTTACTAAATTTATAATTATAAAACCCGCCAGAGCTTACAATGGAGAGATTGTGCTCTACTGTAAATCATGCAAGTACAATATTATAACAATCTTAGTACGAGGAAAATTTCTAATAATTCACTTCATAATTCTAATAATTCACTTCATAATTTTAAATACTTTAAAAAATTATTTCATAAGAAATGAAATTATAGTTTCTTCATAGATTAATTTAGTGCTAACTATATACCTTAGTAAATTTAAAATGCTATAATTTATTATATTTCAGTATTAAGATTAACCTTAAATAATTAGATTCATAAAATATTGTAACTATTGAACATTTTAGGAGAAAAGTATAAAAGAATTAAAAATAAACTAGATATCAAATGCAGCTTATCGGTAAAAAGATGTATTCAAAATTGCCTTTTAATGTGTGATTGATATTTATACCAATAAATGTTACCTTCATCCAGAAAAATTAATTTAAGACAATTACCTTACTTAGATAATTTCCCTGTAATTTCAATACTTGAAGCAATCCACAATTTTCAATGCCCTCCACATCAGTGAGATTATTATAGGAGCAATCCAAGTGTATAATGGTCGGTGTATCACAAAGACATTTGGTACTAATTAATTGATTGTGGTCCACAATTAGCTGCTGAAGATTTTTCAAAGATTCTAAACCACCTGAAAGAAAACATTTTTT